ATTACCTCTTAAAGTTAGAAAAGAAGTGACTTAGAAATGGATCATATCAACGTAACAGGAAATGAAAAATGGCATCATGTAGGCCCAGCTGGATTTAAAATACCATCCGAGGATTAATCGTTGTTTCTTTTGTTTCGAACATTTTTTTATTGTTTTTTTATAATCAACATTGATTCTCGTTACGCATATTCACTTTTGTAGTTCTTTCTCTTACTCTAATCAACGGAACGTAAATTCTCATAAATAAGAAATACTAATTGGAATAACTTTTTTTCAACCAATGGACAGTAAATCCGCGGACAGCAAATCGTGCACACGGATTATAATATTCTCATCATTAAAATAATGTATCCGCTATTTTGTGGTAGTTCATTGTTTATGTATAAAAGTTTTCTTTAACTTAATATTTATATTCATATATCGCTGGATCATTACAAGTGGATAATTTTAAAAACAAAAAACTGCTTAGGATATACTGCTGTTCTGATATTTGATTGATTAATTTAAAAAAATGTCTTTGTTATAGGAATAATATTCAGAGTTTCTAATTAATAGCTTGCCGCTATGCATATGTATAATGGATTACATAATTGTTTTCTTTTTGTTCGGATTTCATAAACAGAACGGATCGTGGTTTCGATTATATCAGTTGATGAACATGCTTCCAAAATAAAAATAAATGCCGTTATCTAAGTAATCTATCAAGTGACATCTAAATTAGTACTTTTAAAATTTGATTTTAATCGGGATTTATGAAACTCTCAACGAAAATAAAAACAGAAATTATCTTCTGTAGATGATTAATATAATTTTGTATTCAAAACATTGTTCGTATATCTCGTGAAATGTACATCTGCATTTTTTATTGATACTTTATGTTTTCATCTATCAAAACAAAAACTGTCGATCGTTTGATTTTTAATATAAGTTAATATTCTATATGTAAAATAAAGAAAATACTAGAATTAACAGTTTCTATAAAAGGAATTGAATAACATATTTTGAAATTTATAGGAAAAAGAATTGATAAAGAAACAAATAATTGTTCTCTCTAAGCCACTTGAGTATTGATATAACATGAAAAAATCGAATACTGTATTATGAATGGCAAATACTAGATGATAATTTTCATCGTATAGATATGATAAACATCTATATTGATGTCTAAATAAAATTGTACGAAAAAAAAGTACATTTCTGTATCATATCTATGTGATTATACAAAATCTTTAGATTTATCATCATCCTCGTTGTTCATATTAGAGATGGTATTTGAATTCTTTTTTCTTTTCTTTTTTAAAGGTTTTTTTTTTGTAAATTAAAACGATTGAAGTATACATTATTGCTTCGAGATATTGCAATGGTTGATATCAAATAAATATAGTTTTCAGCGACATGTTATCATTATTCATCATGAACATCAATTCAAAGGCTCTTTAAAAAAACAGATGATCAAAAATAATCGAATTCAAATCTATAAATATAGACATACATATGTTCAGTAGAAAAAATAATATTTAAATCAACGATTCTCTGTTATATTTCAGAGAATTCCAATACAAAGTAAACGTTTTAACATTTTTGAAGTTAATGAAAATCTTTTTACTATTCTAGATAATATTGAGAAAAAAAGTAAAGTTGAAATCATTATCTGCATGAATCTTTAATATATGATTAATAAAGTTGACAAATAAAATTCTACAATGCTCAATTTTTATGTATTTTGAATAAATTAACGTTTTGAAAAAAAATATTTTCTTTCATAGATAATTAGTTTATTATTTTATTCAATTTTCAACTATTGAAAATAACGAAGTCCAGCATATTTTAAAAATTTTTTCTACTAGTTTGACTTTTTTCTAATTTATCCCATAATCGGCGCCCATCTTTCATCCCCCCTAACAAATCAAATAGAATGATTTTAAAAAAACTTTCGTCTTAAGAAGCATTAAAAAAAAATTCTATTTTGCTTTTGATATTGTGACTTTTTTTTGTTTATTCAATCAAAACAAAAATTAATAATCATTCGTTCCTTTTGTTCAAACAATAACATATTATCGCACTATGATAAAAAAAAATTGAAGAAAATAAATCGCCTGCGACCGATCCCTATTCTCTCTCAAACCACGAATCTTCATTAGTAACGTATCCTCTCTCTAAGCTTTATCGTGTAATGTTTATAATATTTGAATGATTTGTTCATATATATATTAATTCATTTTCCAATAAAATTCAAGAAAGTCGAATTTTGATAATATTCTATTTTTTTATAACTTAGGATAATGAATCAATCAGATAAAAGGCGCGTTTCTATTTTCTTTCATCAACATAACTACTCATCTCAATATCAACATATTTCTTGCTTGAATAATCTTATTGAAAATATAAAATAAAATTGTGACATGTTCAACGAACCATTTATTAATTGAAATTGGTAAGTTATATGAATTATAGTTCAGATAAACTAATGATCACAATATAGGATTAAGAAATGTGTTATGTAATACAATATTAATATTCCATTTAGTCAGATTAAGGATTTGCTACAGCTTTTTATTTAATATACTTGTTAGTAAATCCTTCTAGAAATATTAGACATCAGAATTGGACTATTAAACATGAGTAAAAATAAATAAATAAACTATAGAATTCTTTTAATAAATTTTTACGATCATTTGAGATAAGAAAGAAACCTTTGAGCTGGAAAATAGTTTTTTTAGTTTATGTATTCAATTACGAACTATTGATAAACTTAAGTGTATTTTCACGAACATTTGAGATGTAAAATAAACCTTTGAGCTAGAGAAGAAAAAAACCGTTTTTATTCTCTACAATTAACTACGAACTATAGTTATATTTCAATGTATTTATACGAAGATTTGATATGAAAACGTAACTTATGAGCTCGAAAATAGGTTTTCTCTTCAATTGAGGAAATTAATTACGAACTATTGATAAAATTAAATGTGTCTTCACGAACATTTGAGGTGGAAAATAAACCTTTGAGCTAGAGAACAAAAAAATCGTTTTTATTCTCTGCAGCTAACTACGAACTATAGCTAGATTTCAACATAATCATAGGAACATTTGACATGAAAACAAAACCTATGAGCTAGAAAATAGAATTTTTTTTTCAATTGACATATTTGATTACAAACTATAGCTAGATTTCATTGTATTTATACGAACATTTGACATGAAAAATAAACCTTTGAGCTAGAGAATAAAAGAATTCTTTTTAATTTCGATAATTAACTACGAACCATAGATAGATTTCAATGTAGTTTCACGAACTTATGATATGAAAAACAAACATTTGAGCCAGAAAATAAAATTTTGTTCAATTTATCTGTTGAATTACTAACTATTAATAAACTCAAACGTATTTCTACTAACATTTGAGTTGAAAAATAAATCTTTGAGCTCAAAAACAAAAATTTTCTTTTCCATGTATTCAACTTATTACAAACTATAGTTAGATTTCAATATATCTTCACGAACATTTGACATGAAAAACAAACCTTTGACATAGAGAATAGAATTTTTCTTTTTCTAATGGGTGAAATTAATTACAAACTATAGTTAGATTTCAATGTATCTTCACGAACATTTGAGATGAAAAATGAACCTTTGATATAGAAAATAGAATTTTCTTTTTCCAATAGGTCAAATGAATTACGAACTATAGTTAGATTTCAATTGATTTTCACGAACATTTGAGATGAAAAATAAACCTGTGGCATGGAACATAGAAATAAAAGTTGTGATCATTGGATTTATCTAACTTAATCATATAATTTACTTGAAAGAAAAAGAAGAATTTGTAAATAAATGTTTACAACGACAGTAAATCACACGGCAGTAAATCCTGTAATCCAAGTACAGTAGATCAATTAGTTTTATACTTCAGAATATTTTTTGGAAATTTTTATTATATATATTCATTTATTTATTTATTTCGATAAATTATACTAAAACATACCCATAACATCATAAATGGTAATGGTTTTTTATAAGTGACATTTTTAAGCATTTGTGCATCAATTTTTTGTGTTATATCCATAGGACAATTAAGATTATTAAAATCTTCTTTAATAATATCGATTGATTTTGGTATTGATAATATTTATAAAATTAATGGTAAATATTGAGATAATAATTGTTTATTTAATGTTTTGTTGATGAAGTATTAACATGATTTCAATACGATCATAAACAATTAATTCATCTAAATGTAATACAGATATATATATGATAATGGAATAAATTGTTCAATTAATAAAACTAAAACAAGACCATTTTCATCTAAATGTATTTCTTCATAAACGAATAAATAATTTGCAACTTATGTATGATGTATAAAACTAAATAAATTATGTACAAATATCATGTTGTTCAAAAAAAAAAAGAATAATTGATAATGTGTTATTATTGATGTTCGATATTTAACATATAATTCACGATAATATATTAAACCATAATAAGATTGTAATTGATCACGTATAGATAAATGTGTTATTAATGATGATAGTGTTAATATTGGTGACCATCATGCTTCTTGTGTATAATCAAGCATATTAAGAATATGTATTCATTGTAATAATAATTTAAAATATTCACTTAAAATAATTAAGTATGAAAATGTATCAAGACGATGTATCGTTTCATCATGAATTCATAATTGACGAAAATCATTTACCATTGTTCGAAATTATTTAGCTAAAATAAAATCATAGATCCTATATAAGCATAGAAATTTTAAACTCAAATGTTTTTCGCTAGTTCATTAGGGATTAATGAATTGAAGGAAAGTTTATGTTCAAATTAATGGATGATATGTTACTATCATATAGATTATCATCAAAGCTTAAGCTCTTTTGACTTTGATAGAAATCAGTTTTTACCTGTTCAGTTAGTTTCTTATTCCTAAGGTTTCAAACCTAAATTTTTAAATTAATAATAATTGCTAGACTAACGTATTCATGTCTATAAATACACGATTATTTTGACTGATTATCATTTTCCATAATATGCATAAATACATGAAGATAATCGAATACAAGAGAAACTAATCTCATATCGATTTGATCAGGTAATTGTTGAGTATTAGTTAAAATTCGAAGATGTGTTCTAAAAAGAAAAACGAGAATAGCAGTTATTAAATTACAAATAAAATCCTTTCAAATAGTTACAGGCTAAATGTTTCACCTCGTGTTCCATTCACTAATGATAAAATGACATTCCATCGTGTTAATATAGCATCTTCAGTTAAATTTTCTACAAGACATCGAAGCATTATATTTCTATTGATTAAACATCGATTTGTAGATTGACAGTTGGCATGCTAAGAAAAACTTTTTAAACTACAGGAAACTTTCTTAAGTAAAACCAACGAGCATTTCTATTTACTAATGTTCAAAAAGCAACAAGAAATGGATCAATTAACTGTAACGCAACTGATGATGTAACATCAAATAGTATTAATTGTATGGAATAAATATCCAAAAGCGATTGAGCCTATTTGAAAAGAAAAAGTAACGTATAATCGAAGATTATTAAAAAAGAAAAATAACCATAGATCAATCAATAATAATATGTGAATGTAAATGAGCAAGAAGAACATCGATAATTTACCGTGAAAGCCGTTTCCATTTATCATCTTCATGTCGAACATTATCAACAATAACTATTACAAATCGTAAAACCTATAACAATAAAAATTCTATTATTATTTTTTCAGTACATGTACATTACATGCAAAACATACTTTTATTTATAATAATTAAGACGCCTAGTTTTGCCTCAAACTATTCATTGCGGCATCTTTTATCAAATACATAACTGAAGATTACTGTCTCAAAATTTTTGTGAATTCTGAGCATCAACAAGATGGTTATTTGGAGACCATTGATTCGCTGAAGTGCGACTGTGGGTTCAATTAAGGAGAAAAACTACACCTACACATCCACACCCATACCCACAACATCTGGCTGATGTATTACGACAGAACACCGTGACCCTCATTCTCTCTTCATCTCTCTCAT